ATTGGCTATATTTAAAATCATTAGTCAGGCCCTTCAGTGGTAAAAAACTTATTAGGAACTACGAATAACCAAAGACTACCAAATCTGGAAAGAGTAACAATTACTCCCACAAGTAGTGCTAACATACTAATGCTAATAGTTTAAGGTGAAAATTTTGGTAAACCTCAACCTTGACACATTAATTTTCTTCAGTAAAAGAGAATTCCAGATCAAAGTTAATGATTTCCATTTTCCAACATAACATATAATTAACCACGGCTCCTTCTGGTGAACAATTTAAACCAGAATTAATACTTATTTCAATAGAATAACAAGCGTAAATGGATAGTAGACAATCCATTATTCTACTTACAAATCTGGTATTTAGGTTGCAACAGCTACATGTATATGCTCTTTTAACCTTATTTGTATGTTGCATGCATTTTCTAGAAACTTCATAACCTATTCTCCTCAGTACTCATGCACCATTACCTTCTTCATAATTACATCCACCTTGGTGACTGACCTATATTTAGTGAACACCCCTCTCAATTTGCAAGTTACTTGTACACTGGCAAGAAGGATTGACAACATACAGGCTATTTAGTCGCGAATCTTCGTGTTTGAGACACACAGAGTGAGAAACAGAAAGAGAGGGAGGGAGGGTGATTGTGTTTGGCCCGTTGAGGAGAGGGACATTACCTCGCTAACACAATGAATATTTCTGTTGTCTGCAGTGTATATTATGACATCCTGTGTAGATACAACACAATCAGTTTGGACAATGGGGAGGTGTAATCCTAACCAAAAAATAAATAAATAAATAATAAAAAAAACGAAAAGATTTAAAATGTAATTTAGGTGCCACAATATAAATTAATTAGGAAGGAATTGTTAATTGTTCTCATTGTATTAGATTGAATACTAATGGTTCAACCATCAAAATTATTTATCATGATTTTATTCATTTTATGCTGTCAATTTCTCAGATAGACAGATTTTGTTATTATCCACAATTTTCTATGCAAGTATGCAACTAATGGAGTTAAGGGTATGAAGAACAGCCAAACTCTAATAATATTATCATTCAAGATATTATCAAGAAGTTGACATTCTCTTTGGGAATAATCTCTAGCAAACAATGGGAATAATCACGGTGTATTTTGCGAAGCAAAATTACTAACATGAACAGCATAATTATTAAAACTTGATCTGACAGCAAGCAGAAGTGAGTGATCTCTAACAATAACACGACATATATTTAGAGTGTTCATCTTTCTTTCAATAACTTGTCCTTCTCAATGTCTGCCTTTGCTCTCTCTTGCCTAAGTTCTGTCACAGTAACTAATATTAATACAACAGTAGTTCCTCCCTTGCAAACTTTCAATCTTCACATCTATTCTTTGCTTCTTTGTCTTTCACTACCATCAAGAATATGTATCCCATGAACGTTTCACCATTTAATGTTGTAGTAACACTGATTTTCAAAGAAAAATCAGATAAATGATCCTATACGCACAAGATTTGATCTATATTATTGTGAGTTGTGACTATAAACCCATTCTGAGTCCCAGTGGACGCCAAATTTGTTACAATACATTTTATGAAACATGAAATAATTGCACGACTTGAATTTTATTGATCAAACAGTATTGCAGGTATCTCTAATTTCCCTGAGATTCTTCTCGTTATGGTCCTGGAATTAAATCTTCGAAGGTTGATTAGCTGATTGAATCTCCCATCTGGAGCTTGAGTTTCACTAACGTTAATTTGGGAGGTCAAATTACTTATTA